TGCTTCTGACTCTCTCCAGCACAGAGTGGGAATGGCTGCTGACTCCTTCCAGATACGGATTTTGAGAGACAGCTGTGAAAACCCATGATGGGTTTTTCCAAACAGTTAGTATTTCCCAGAATATATTTTGGACCTGGCGCTAAATAATGCTGTTATGAAACAGTGACCATCTGCCAAGAAATGACAATGCAAATATGTCACAGTTGGGTTTTATAGGGAAATTCTCCTGAAGGATAGGACTTTGGGCGAGGTGCACAGGTGGTTTAACTGAGCACAGCCTCCCTCACTGCTCTGATATCCACCCGGGAAGAATCTGGCCAGGGCTGTAGTAGTGATTGGTTTTTCCAGCATGGCAAGGACAAATGGGTAGAGGCTGCTCAGGATGGCACTSCAGGGTGGGGAGCTGCGATGTCCCCGGCCTGCCAGTGGAAAACAAAGTGACTTGGTGTTCACTGGTTCTTTCTGTGTTGGAAGAACAATCCAGGAGTGTCCAGGTTGAAGGCACAAAACAGTTCTGATGCCAGTGGCTTCACAATCTAGGCCCTTCTRTGGTGGAATGAGAAGTGAGACACAAAAACAATTGAGAAAGAAGGAAAACTTGAAACTTGCTTCTTGTAGACCTTTACCATGTGTTCACAATGGTCTTGGGTGGCAGGTTTACCTTCATCTCACAGAATGTTTCTGTCTGTGGCAGCTTCAAAAGCTTTCCCAAAGGCCTGGCCGAGAGGGAGATAACATGGTTGGGCACCAGCACCGGTGAAAATAAATGGCCCCTCTCGCCACCCCCATCACAGAGGAGTCACTCTCCATCTGCTGTGGATCAGCAGTGCCAGTCCCCTGCTTCTTCTGAAGGGCTTCGGAGCACTGAGAGACAGCCCATAAGGGCTGAAGGTCACCCCAGAGAGCCAACACTGGAAAATGCCAGCCTGGACTCGGGGATCACCTGCACAGCACCCCCAGTGAAGGCAAAGAAAAAGACCCCAGAGGATATTAAATCAGAGGCTCTAGCAAAAGAAATTGTCCATAAAGACAAGTCTCTGGCTGATATTCTGGATCCAGATTCCAAAATGAAGACCACCATGGACTTGATGGAAGGGATTTTCCCTGGTGGAACCAGTCTGCTGAAGGAGAACAAGATGAAGAGGAAGATGTTGCAGACACAAGCCAGCAGGACAGCAGTGGCAAATGAGACGTAAGAACTCTGGGGTGGGGTGTGGGATGACACAACTCWCTGCTCCCTTGCTTCTAGGGTCAACCTGTGCCATATTGTTCTGCATTTCTATAGGTGAGAGTGAGTTTTGCAGTGAGTTTGGGTTTTGCGGGTGTGAGGCCTGGCATTTCCAAATGGCCCTTCCCATGAGCTGGGCTCTGTGTTTGGGCTCTGAGCTCATCTCTCTGGGCTGTGTAGAAAATGATAGGAAATGAAACATCCCTGGAGATATAATTGGATTTTGCTATCTGAAGCAATTCAATTCAAAGCTCAGGAACAGATATAGGAAAGTAAAATCAGGATGAAAGTATGGCAGGCACATAACATATTCTGGAAGGAGGGATGAGGGAACCTACTTATTACCAGATCAGCCCAAGTCCCCCAGTGCGGTTTTTTCTAAGACAGAGACTTCCAGGTGGCAGCTGGAGACCTGTCCAGCAGTCAGTTGTACTGKGTGATGCCAGGTAAGAAGGTCAGTCTGGTCACCTCTAAACCCAGCTGTGCTGACTGACCTTCAGCAAGATAAATCCTGTGCAGAGCTTTGTCTAGTCACCTTTAAACCCAGCTGTGCTGCACCAGCATCCCCTGATGGCAGGAATCCTCCTTGTCCTGGTGGGTGATAACTCTGGCAAGGTACCAGAGAGGGAGTCCTGGGAAACCATGGATCTAACACCAGCAAAAGTTAGGCTCTGAATTCTTCCTTTTTCTTCGCTGTGGTGTAGGAGAGAGGAAAAGGAAGCTACTGTCACCCTGGTCACCTGTCCTGCTTACTACAACGTTTCAGCCCCCAAAGCAGAACTGCTGAATAAAATCAAGGACTTGCCAGAGGAAGTAGGTGATGAAGAGGAGCTGCTGGACATCAATGAGAAAAAGGTAAATTCATTCACACAGCACTGTTTGCTGTTTACATTCSTGAAATAATAAAAAAGCCCGAAAGGGAAGTGCATTTCTGTTTGATGGCAGCACCCAAAATTGCGTGGGAGTGATTAGGCTGCCTGTGAAGCTTTACTAGAGTGACCCAAATTGTATAAGAGAGTTAATCTGAATTACTCACTGCAAATTGAGTACCAATCTTGCACCACCCTGGGTGCTTTGTAAAGCACTGTAATCATTGAACATGGATTCTTCCTTTTGCTCCTCAGGAATTGCTCCAGCAATCAGCAGGTGGGGATCTTTCTTTGGAAGGGGGCACTAGCATCATGGCCCCAAGGAAGGGCAAGGGYTGGGTTTTTGTCTCTAGCCCTGCTGAGGGAAGAATGCCCATAAAGGAGCTTTGTTTGACCTTTAGGAGGTGGGATTTTGTACCACCTTTGCTCCCTCTCCTCCTGAACTACCCTGCTAGCCAACGGAGTCATCCCAGGGAGAGGATGTTTGTTTTCAGGGAGTATTACTGTCCTTTTGCTCAGTTTTTGCATGTGTGTGGCAGCTGAGAGCAGGCTGCAGTGCAGCCACAGAGCAATGCACACCAAGTGTTCCATCTAGTGGTGCCTGGCCATACAGTGCCATGAGCTCCCTGCTGCACATGGAACCCCCTGCCAGGCCACCCTGGGCTTTGGGGCAGGCTCAGTGACCCCAGCCTGAACCATGTTTGAAAATCCTTCCTGTGAAAGCTGCCTCCTGCCTGGAATGACACTCAGCTATAATGGAAAGAGGACTTGGAGAGAGTATTTTCAGGCCACCTTGTGATTGACTTGTTTCATCCTGCAGTGTTTGTGTGCAGAGCAGATGAACACACAGGTGTTTGTGCCTCAGCAGTGCATGAGCTGGAGACACTGAAAATCCCCACCCCTTGTATATATGGAGAGCTTTTCCTGCTTGCTGTGCTCTCAGTTCTGAGTGAATGGAAGCATGAATTGCCAGCCCCAGGCCAGAGACTTGCTTTTGCATATGTCTTTCCTCTAAATCCTAACAGAAGTTAGGATCTCCGGCACATGTGCAGCACTGCTGTTCTTGGAGTAACCGAACCCTGAGGGCCTCCTTTTCTTTGGCAGGGAAATAGGTGTCAATGTTTTCACAAAATGGGTATGTGCTTGTGTTCAGACACTGAGTAAATCCAGAGYATCTTTGGTGTAAACCCTTCCTTGATGCCTGTGTGTGAGGCATTTGTTTGGTACAGATCAAGGTGGTTCAGGAACACACCAGAGATGTGGCTGCAGCTTTTTTCACACAGAGGGTTTAAAGAACATTCATCTGTAGGTAGCTGGGTGTCAGAATATGGTGCACCAAATCAGAGATCTCTTTTATAMATGTTCATTAAACAAATATATCCTCATGGAACCTGATGAGCTATGCAGGTTATCTCCGTGGTGGGGAATTTCAGCATTTTCTCTGTTTCCTCCCTTCTTTGTCAACTGTTGCTGACATGACCCTGCTCCTCAGGAACTCCATCCATATCCTCTTGTTGTCATCACCCGTATGAGCAGGGTGGTGCTGGTAACAACCAATGTGGCAATGCTTCCCCTCCAACAGGCTGAGCTCATCGGGAGCTTGACCCACAAACTGGAAATCCTGAAGGAAGCCAAGGAGGGCCTGCTCGCAGACATTAAGATGAATAATGCTCTYGGAGAGGAGGTGGAGCTGTTGATCAGCTCGCTGTGCAAACCCAACGAGTTTGACAAGTACAAGATGTTCATTGGYGATCTGGATAAGGTGGTGAACCTCCTGCTGTCCCTCTCGGGACGCCTGGCCCGCGTGGAGAACGTCCTGAGCAGCCTGGGGGACAGCGCCAACAGCGAGGAGCGGGTACGTATTGCACAGCCCTGGCCTGCTGGGGTGTGGGGCAGCAGCCACTACAACATCCTTACAACACCTCCAGGGCTGCCAGGTGGGCAGCACAGAGCTCCTGCTCGTGTAGGAGCAGTGAGTGGCTCAGGCATTGTCCCTGGCAATCGTGATCCCCATTTCTGTAAATGGCTGATACCCTGCAGCCTTTGGACACAGAGCAGCTGTGTTGGGGACAGCCACGTTTTAACATTCTTTGGGTGGTTTTGAAACCAGATTTTCCTGGTGGTTGTTGCTTTCAAGGAAGGTTTCCTGACTTTATTGGAGCACTTGCTGGCTCTCATGGGTAAGGACATTCAGAGCCCATTCCAGTGGGGTTCACATTCACCCTGCAATGAGGAATTCATCCTCTCCCAGGTTTTGACTGCAGGTGTGGGAGCTTAGCAGCCATCTGTGGAGGTGCTGGGAGGAAGGAAATGGGGATCAGGGAATGTGCTGCTGCTGGTACTGAAGGGCTGTCTCTGGTGTGCAGAGCTCRCTGAATGAAAAGCGGAAGCTGCTGGCTGGCCAGCACGAAGATGCCCGGGAGCTAAAGGAAAACCTCGACCGTCGGGAACGGGTGGTCTTGGACATCCTGGGCAATTACCTCTCCGAGGAGCAGCTCCAGGACTACCAGCACTTTGTGAAGATGAAGTCTGCGCTCCTCATAGAGCAGCGAGAGCTCGACGATAAAATCAAACTGGGCCAGGAGCAGCTCAAGTGCCTGATGGAAAGTCTCCCCACAGACTTCACGCCCAGGGACGCTGCAGCAGCAGCTGCCCTGGCTGCAGCACTTGCTACCTCYGCCGGGGTCGGTGGTAAAACACCTCCAGCAGCCTCTTCCTCCCTCTAACCTGTCCCAGGTGCAGYTGGGATATGGCCCTGCCCAAGTCCCTTTAATCCCAGTGCTTGGCAGATGGTTCTCTTCAAAGACAATGGATGGAGACAGGTCTAAACCCAGATTTTAATGAAGGAAAAAAATAGCAATAATAAAGGTTTTATTTTCCTTTCCTTCCACCTCTGCTTCCTGGAAACTTAAATCAATGTGGAAGGAAATCTTCTCCTGCCAGAGAGGAGGAAGAATCTCACAGGAATTAAACACATGACCTTTAATAAAAAACATGACCTCTTCTCTTCCCTCCCTTTTCTGCCTACTTGGCACCTCATTAAATAATGAAGGATCTAAGAGAATGAAGCCTTAAAAATAAAACCAACCCATTTTACTGAACATTATTGATATTTATATTTTTTAAAGAACAAGACAGAATGTGTAAGTTTTTGTACATACTCTAATCAGTTACTTGATTCTACTTTGTTCTGTATGTAGAAAAGACATTTTAATTTTGTATTTTGTGAAGACCTTAACAAAAAGAGGGAACCCCAAAGATAGTCATGCAGTAGMTTGAAACATCTCGTCGTGGTTTTGTTGCTGTTGTTGTGGTTGTTTTTTAATATAATAAAGGGCTACGAGAAGCAGCTTCACCCTGTTTCAAGACATGCTAAAGATACCATTAAGTGGCCTTATAAAGGAGATTTTGGCCATGAAAATACAATTTTTTCCTCTTCTGGATCCTGTGATCCTCTTGAGTCTCAAGTTCAAGCATCTTTTATATCAATCTTCATCTCAGGAGTCCAAGTTAGCATGAAGCAAGGAATTCATTGCAGGAATGTGAGGGAAATTCTGTCTTTATTTTGAATACTCTAAACTGTGGTCTGTGTTTCTGTTGCAGCCTGAAAGATTTCCCTGAGGTGTGACAGGGATTTCTACTGACGTGATTTATAGGCCCGGGTTGGAGTAGAGTTCCAGGGAAACAGCGGGGGGAGCTGTTTCAATCCAATCAAGGCAGATCATTTGCCTGAAAAAAAGCTACCACTGCTGCAGCTTAGTTTGTTCGATTTTAAGACAGTTTTAATTCAGATTTTTTTTGTTTGAAGCCACCCTTCCATCTTACACTTACCAAAACAACTTACAAAGACATGGTAGATACGGGAGGTGTTTGTTCATTTTCCATTTAGCGAGTTCTTTCCTGAAAAACACAACTTCAGTTTATCCCCAGGTCAGGAAGAGGATTCCATCCAAACAGGATTTGCCTGTTTGCTCCAGGAACCCACACGGCTTCAGGGGGAGCACCTCCAGCAAGTTTGGGGTGGATGAGGCAAGTSCTGTGTGTGCTCCCACAGTACACAGGAACATCAGCTTATGAGGCAAGTGATAGTCAATGACATTTTTTTGACAGCCTGTATTTTCAGGTCAGAAATGAGTTAAAGCCCTGATTTCTGTGGTTAGTGCAGGAGAACTCTCTGTGCAGAGTTTTATTCAAAAATCACTCTAACTGCAAAATTTGGTAGAAGCACACCTTAATATGTATTTAAAGGTAATTAAACATAAGCCAAACCTGAAGATTTACTTCTCAGGCAAAAAGATTAACTTCTTTTACCTCTGGCAAAAAGGGGAGTGCATTCATTGCTCTTTAACCCACCTTACTTTTCTCCTGTGGCTATAAAACTAGAGGATAATGGAAACGCAGAATTTCCCASACTGATGATGAGATTTGATGGGGTAGTAACACCAGGGATGGAATGTTACCCATATTGTCCAGTCCTTGTAAACTTTCTGACACAACTCTGCATTTTGGGTCTGGCTACACAAGATTTTTAGATCTGAAGTTGTATTGCAGTGAAGAATGCCAGTACACCAGACACAGTGAGCATGATCTGCTGTGCTACCCCTTCCCCAAAATGCATCTCAGAGAAGGGCTTTTCAGCAGCCTGGCAACTTTTGCTAAAARTGAGCCTTCTTTTGGGTTTGGATATTGGTCTGGAATGCCCTACAGGGATGACAGCATGGCCTGTTTGCCAGTCTGGGTGGCCTCTGTCTGTTGGTGACAATGTTTGGGACTTCTTCCCAAGTCAGTTGATGGTACCTGGGTCAAGCACCTTCTCCAGAGGTGTTTCCAGGTAAGTCATGGACTGTTGGAGGATCATTGACAGCTGCCTACAGGCACAGTGGGAAAGCACGAATCTCCCTTCGGTGGCTTCAGGAAAATCCTGTRAGGACAAAGCAGGTACATTTGTGACACGTGGTGCCACTTCCAAGTAAAATCTCATGGTACAAAAACAATTCCATTGTGTTATATTTGCACATTAGTTAGGAGCAGCCTTTTTCCTGGGTCAGCATCCCTTAAATTATTATCTCCAGTCAAAGCAGGCCAGCTCTCAGTGAGCYCTCACATGCATGTGATAGAAGCGCCAGGAAAATCTAGTCATCCAACTTAAAATTGGCCTTTTTTTATCAGAGCCCTTGGGCAATTGATGGTCACAAGGAATTCACATCAGATGCTTTCCTCAAGACTAAATCTAGTAAAGAGTGTTTACATAGCAGGRTCTCTTGGTTGTAAGTTTRCAYACAAGATCTTTTGTGAARGTTACCTATAAAAATCGGTCAAACYCRSAGCACSACAGCAGTTCATGTGTCAGTTTATCCATCATCTTTACAACTCAGCAGCTGTCATGATTATTTAGGCTGGTAATTAAGAGAAGCAAGTAAAGCAAACTGGATAGCATTCTGTATTTGCTCCACATAAATCCTGTCCTTTGCAAAACGGAGAACAGAGCGAGCTTTTCATCAGAGAGCCCCTGCTTTACATCAGTGTGAGCAAACTGAGGCACACCTAGAGACCCCATGGCAGGTTTCTCCGTTTCAATTCAGCCATTCTCCACGTCAGTGTTTACATAAGAGCTGTTTATCCCYTTACACCCCTCCAGAGGTGAAGTGTCCTGACCATGGCTTGGCTGTGTTCCCACAGGAGTGCTGCTCATGCCTTTGCAGCTCTGCTGTGTTCGGGGATTTTGCTGTCCATGTGTTACTGAACAATCAGCCTTTGTGCTGTGCAACTGGATGTGTGTCTGTGGGCAGCCTTTGTGCAGCTCGGTGTGCCAAAAATCATTGCAGAAAGCTGCTTTTTTCTTGCCCGTTTCAAGATGTYGGGGAGATGGAGCCAGCCAGGCTCAGCACCCTCAGACAGGCTTCAGGGGTGTCATGTCAGCGTGGCTCTGCCTGCTTTGGGATTAGGGATTAGGAAAAAGGGATCATTTTCCCCTATTCCATAGAGAAAGCAGGGTATGTGTGARGTAAACAGCTTTTTCCTCTGTGCTTTGCAGCCTGAAGCCATGCCCTTCTGCTAGGGCTGCACTGAGAGCAGGGCGACTTCAAATGAGAGAATTCGGCCATACTTTTAAAATTATTGTTCATTTTAGCACTAAATGAATTTACAGAAAGGCAAAAGAAAAAGAAAAAAACAAAACAAAAACCAAGGATGTATTCAGCTGGGGAGGATAAGAGCTGGTGAAAGCTTAATGGAATATGGGGAAA